CCGACCCATTGGATTTTGCTGTGGAATGGCACGATTACGTGGTCATTCCTGACGTGGTCCACAAAGGCCAGGCACCCATTCAAGGTCATTATTCCTTTGGTGCAGTGGCACGATCCTGGAATGCGATGATTTTCGCTCCTCTATGTCGCCTGGCCTGGCCATGATCCTGAGGTGGCCCGGAGTTGTTCCCAAACGATTGACGAATCCTATTTGGCGTCGACCACTGCTAACACCCATGAAATCCTTCAACAACCTTTTAGGTGATAGATTCGCTTGATGCATTTTTGGCTATGGCTTCGATTCGAACTTTGGTGCCTAGAAACATACGATGCCCCCGGAGTCCTACTCTGCGACCCAACACGAGCAATCTGAAGCAATTATTGGAAGACGACATGAATATTTTTACATTGATAGGATTTTTATATGGGAGCCGATCGAAAATGCACATCTAAGAATTATGAAAGGTTATGTGTATCTCAACATCTGCGGTTGTAAAACCCTGCATCGCGGTTGATTAGAATCGACCATTATAAGAGGAGAAATCAATATTATATGGTATGATAATCATGTTACAATTCAACCTTACACTTTATTTGGGTCTGCCTAGACACTGTGTTCAATAGTGATAGCCAATAGCAAAGAAGAATCAGAACAACAAAAAAATATCGACGAAATCCGCGATTGATACGTGATTGTGCCGCGATTATTAAACCCGCCTGAGTAGGCCCTGGCTCACGCCATATCTCTAAATATTGTAGTAGGAATATTTTGACGATTCTCTGCATACAATAGTATTGCATATAAGAGCACTCTCCCGCGATTGATACCGTTGGGATCGCGATTGATTCGCGGTTGATCGGCGATTGTAGCTGCCTCAGATACCTTTATTTTGATGAATATCTATATATTAGGGGAATTAATTAAAGATATTTGAATTTGGCGGTTGATTTCGATATATAATTCATTTAATTATATATTTGAAGATTAGGATTTTGCCTTCGTACCGATAGGATTCTAAATCGACGCCGACAATAGAAATTGAATTCGTTGCAAGAATTGATAGAAATTCTATCTTTTCAATAATTTTTCATATATAATATTTTATATTATACCAATA